GAGAAACTATTCCTCTCTATTATTTCTAATCATTGAAAGTGCTTTATTGAAGTGAGTTGCTTTTGTTCGAAGATACTCTGTCCATGTGACCGATCGGTATAGAGGCGACTCAAATGGACTAACCAGCTTTGGTACAGGTGATATCTTGGTATCAGATTGTGGACCCCAAAGGAAAGCCACAGAAAACCGGGATCTGGTTTGGTTAACTCGTGCGCGGTGAAGAACGCTTTTGAACAAACCATTGGATAGGATGTGGAAGAGGTCACCAACATTGACCACGAGGGAGCCAGGAACCGGTGGCACGGTGACCCAACCGATATCATCGCGGAGTAGTTGTAGACCGGCGGTATTGTTCTGGTAGAGAATGGTTAGGAGAGTGGAGTCGGTGTGGGCGGCTAGACCCATAGCCCTGTCCGGTTCAGGACAAACCGGGTAGTGATTTAGCTGGAGAGCAGCTTGGGCCCAGTTGTTATCTGAATTGAGCCTGGCCCATTTGATGTCTTCTTCGCTGACTCCAAGTGAACTTAGTGCTAACCACATCAGTTTCGATGCCAACTTTTGCATTTTTTCCTCGTACTCTTCAACGATGTCGCTGTTAATTAAAAACGAATTTTATCCAATTAAATTAGTACAAATGAGATTTACTCACAATTTGCATATACATAAACATACATACAAAACTTGTACGAACCTTTTGAATAAATAGAAAGAAACAAAAAAAATAGAAAAACAAGTTGGGCTTTTTGTTTTCTCCGATACGATTGAAAGAAATATATCTTCAAAATCTTGAGGTGGGTCCACTACACTAGATTTCATTTTGCTCTTAACTATTAACTCCACTCAACTCCGACGACATGGCAAAATTTCGGTTGCTTCTGTTATCTATGCTCCTTGTTAATGTATAAAACTTTTTTCTCTCAAATTTTCACATAAATATCAGTCCCAAAACTATGATTATATCCAAATTAACCCGTATAAAATATAAGCATAGGATTAAGTATGCGTATATAGAGTTTCTCAAAAAAGAAAAAAAAAGTATGCGTATATAGAGATATATACCAGTAGTTGAGGTGACGTTGGGGCCAAAGTTTGCGGAAATCGTTGAGAGGTGAGCCAGAGATGGTGAAGCCTTCTGACCACATTTGCTTGTTGAAGAAAGATGCGATACGAGCGACACCGTAGCCGGAGATACCTGTCTCCGACCGAGCCGCCTTGAGCTTGCGTTGGACAGGTAACCGGAAAAGACTCCCGGTGAGAAACTCAATGTCTTCGAGAAGTCCCAAGGACACGCCATGGTTAGCGATCTGGAACGCACCCCAAGTTCTACATGCATGGCCTATTTGGTTGGCCGCGTCGGGGTGGTTGAGGTCGATGAGAGGGATGTTTTCACCGGTCGCCGGAGGAGAAGGAGTGGCGGCGAAGAGGAGATCGTCTTTAGGGGTCCACGTGTAAGAATCCGGGAGCTCACGGAGGGATGTGAAGTCAGGTTGGTGAGAGTGTGGGAGGTGAATGGGATGGCCTCTAAAGACATCGGTTAACATTGTAGGCATCTTGTTCTTTGCAAGAAACTTGTTTCTCTATAAATTTTATAAAAAAAAAAATTGATAGATGCTTTTGTGTGTTTTTTCTTTATGAGATATGTGATGTTTGGTGGTGGAAGATATTGGAAGAGTTAGAGAGCTTATTTATAGTGGTAGAGTTGAGATCAAGAGGAGGCAAAAGCATATGTTAAAGCTCTTGTTTTGGTGCATTCTTATTGGTTATTCGACTAGTTTATTCGATTAATACAATACGAACAAACCAAACCTCTAGAAAATTATGGAGGTCCCGCCATTTCCTTCTTTTCGAAGAAAAACAAATGTTATTTCTTATTTGATTTATGCAAAGATCTTATTTGATTTATGCAAAGATAAGATATGCACAGATGGGTTGTCAAACTATATAATTCAAATTAAATATGTATTATTACGATATAAGTTAAACCTTTTGAAACTTAATATATGAATTTAAGAAAGTGATTAATTAAGTTGATAAGATGTGATTAGACCCTTATACGGTTAGACAAAAGGTGCAAAAAGAAGGAAAAAGACAAATTAATGTTTTATTGTTGTCTAATTTATTTGTTTTTGTTTCTGGTTGATTCGGTTATTTCCTTGGTCATTGGAATAAGTATATCCAACAATTTCTTGATGACACGCTTCCTGATTTTCTTCAATTATTGTGTAATAAAAAGTCTTAATTTCTTTCAAATCAAACCTTAAGAAAGTTATATACACACACAAAAAAAACATTATACCACAAATAACTTTTTTGTTTTTTCCTGCGAATTGTGGTCAAATTAGTCTTGACTCTTGATTGATTGAAATTATAATTGTAAAAGAGGGAGACATAAAGAGGAGTGTTTTTGGCTCGGACAAAAGAAGGAACAAAAATAGAAAGGGCCAATGTTGTCCTCTACAAACAATATCTAGCTAACTGCAGGTAATAACAAAATAGCTTATCTTCTTTAAAATTTCAACCAAGAAAAATGGAAAGATTTTCGC